TTTTTAAGTAAGGACCAAGCGGCCAGCGGCAGACTGTTGAGCATATATGTTTGATCAATTTAGCCTTCTCAAATCAACATGACTTGCCTCAAATAAAATCTATAGACATAAAACACTATGCAATTCACAATATTAATTAAAAATTTAACCTAGATACATGTGTGCTGTTAGACGCACTTGACACAGTCGTTTGTGTGGAGAGTGCAAACTGAAGCGCGCTCTGCAGGACATGGAGGCGCCAGCGCAATCGCATTTTTTTCTTAAGAGTGGAAACTTAGCATACGCCGTCATTTTTGTTCATAAAGGTAAGAGTAATACATAATTCGGAATTGTAAAGGGTCTACTTTTATTTGTGTGCACTCATAAACAATATCAACAAAAACCTGTGCTTTTGTAAAATTATTAAGGAAAACAAACAGGATGCGCTTTCTGTCGTCTTGGTCTTGAGCAGGAGCGCTTCACAATGATGAACCGAAACTCAGCGAATACTTGCCTCCTCACAGACATGATAAATATATCTAATAGAATGCTTTAAATACTTTGAAACAAAATAATTCAAATAGAAAACAAAAACTCTTTCATTATGTAGGCTAATCCATAAATATGTATTTATCTCTAAAGGCGCGCATCCTGAGGAGATGGCGAGTCAGGATAGTCAACATCATCTTGTGACACTGACTCAGAAAATACTAGTTCATTAATAAATAATTCAAATATCTCCTTAGTATTTTATTTATTTATTTATTTTTTGTTTGTTTTTGTTTTTTGGGCTTCTGTGCCAAGAGTGTGTTTGCATGCAGTACAAATAGCCTACGGCGGCATTTTAGTACCATGTTGAAAAATAAGATTAACATCATAATATTTTAAGAATGAAGTCAAAATTACGATAATAAAATCAGGTTATAGGCCTATTGCGTGAAGTTAATGTGAGAATTCCACCTATACATATATATATCTATATATTCCCGCCAAAAAAAATAAATAAAATAAAATAAATAAATAAATAAAAATAAAAAGTCTGTTGCATCCAACCTGTCATTTTTCACATTTAACATAAAAAACAGCAATAAAAGGTAGGCTCATTGACGTTTTTTTAAACTCTAATTGATCGATTTCATGCAACATTCGTTTGTATTAAATTGTTCAGATTTTTTCAACATGCATTCAAATATTTATTCATGTTTATTTCGTGCTGCAAATATTAAAGATGAAAATGTCATTGATTCACATGCTACGTTCTGTAATGTATTAGTCAATATTAAAAAGTAAAAAGTGTATAGACGTATGCAAAACAGACAATTATCTTTTATTGTAAAACGTGACAAGGACGCGAAATCGAAAGTGAAAGCATCCGTACATGTTATAAATAAAGGATTTCTTTAATGTTGTAAATCCCTTGTTCACATTTAAACAGTTTATAATAGTATTAGAGTAGGTTGGACACTAGGTGGTGCGTTGAGGTAATTTTCACTATGCAATTGTCTTTTAGGGGGCCCTTGGCTTTTGGGGGCCCAAGGCGGTCGCCTACCTTTGCCTAATGGTTAAGTCCGCCTCTGGGTAGGATAAAATGCCAGGACACCTTGTTTATAACATAGCAAAAGAGGAAAAAGAACAGGTTGAATGTTAACCAGTTTCGTTTCCATATAACTATAAACTATGATAAAAGTTCATCAGCATGCACTGATTAATCCCATGTTGTAGCAACCAAAAAAAAAAAACTGAGAAAGTTAGTCGCAAAAGAGCGACCAGTGGGAGGAATGAGTCTGGAGCCCTGAATTGCCCAGCTCCCCCTGTCAAAGATCTAGCACACCCTCAGCACCTGCGTTCAAAATTCTCTGGCGCCGCCCCTGCCCAACCTGTATCCCGAAGCTCTCAACATCCCAGTCATCATCTTTCTACCGTACACAGAGCCGCAAACAGGTCGAACGACTGCATCCGCACCATCTCTCCCTAGCCGTGCGTAATCAAAACGATGAATGTTGAACAAAGAACTGCAAAGGGTTACACGGACCCTCTGCCAATGCATTGATGAAATTAACAGTTGGATGTGCCAAAATTTTCTTCAGTTAAATAAGGAGCAAACTGAAGTCATTGCATTTGGAAACAAAGATGAAGTTCTCAAGGTGAATGCATACCTTGACTCTAGGGGTCAAACAACTAAAAATCAAGTCAAGAATCTTGGTGAGATTCTGGAGACAGACTTTAGTTTCAGTAGTCATGTCAAAGCAGTTACTAGATCAGCATACTATCATCATGACAAGTTTCAGTGCATTGTTTGTAATAAATTAATTTGCTTGTATAAACATTTGCAACTAAACACTGGAACTAAAAGTTGCAGCTTAGTACTAATCATTTTTGAGGATTCAAATACATAACTTGCAAGTCATGTTCTCAGCACATTAGGTTTTTAAAAAACATTTGAATACATTGCACTGCATCATAACCTAATTATGACAAATATTTTAAGCATCTTAAATCTTATCTTTTTTTAATGTTCAAATCAAATCTGTCTAAAGTATTCTAAAATCAGAAGGCCTGAAAAAAATTTCAAAAAGGTATTTTGTGGTTAATGTATACTTCTGTCAGGACCACTATCGTCAAAGATGATTGACAATTAGCATACAGTTTGGATTGGTGGTATGGTTCCATTCTGGGCAAGAACTCCCTGCGCATCCATGCAGCCTAGCATGGATGAGAGCAGGGAGAGCAGCGATAACCCCCCTAGGGTAAACAGAACAGAACCAACATAAATGTATTGCAGATATCGTTAAAGTTCAATAATGTTATGTACACATTTTAGAATTAGTCTGATTCAAAGGAGAATCAGAAGGCTGAATCCTGACTGACAGAGGAGGAGCTGGGGATGGAGGAGGGTAATTAGCTATTGAGCAATGCGAAAACTGCTGATACTACTGCGGGACCTTATATATGAATACTTAGGTGTCGTATTCCCATAGGTTGATGGGGATCAGTTGAGAGTCAGCTGATGCGAGCTTGACTACGTGACCTGCCAGAACTGACGCTATGCTAGATGTGTCTGTGTGAACATGCGTCAGCTTCCCTTTCATATCCTGGGATACAGAAGACACTGGACTGCAGCACAGAGAACCCAGAATCTGACACAGTGCGGGCCATTTGCTCTTTGGGTTTGAGATGATGGTGAGGACGGTCAAACCCTCACCCTGAGACACTGTCAGAGGCATGCTGCAGACGGGAGTGATGGATTTCAGACTTCCCACAAGATAAAGACAAGATAAGGCTCATGCATCAGAAAAACACAAATCCCAAAAGATTTTTATGTAAATTCCTAACATTTTGTTCCCGTTCACAAACAAGTTCTAGAACATTTGTGATTATTAAACAGCATTGCTGACTGTAGTTTTCTCATTGACTGCATCAACGTTTCTTTAGGAAGTGAAGGCTGATGTGTGCTTGCTAAAAAGTAGTCATTGATAATCAAGTCACACCTTTTACATTGTTCTTACTTTTTAATAGCATGTGCATTTTACAGATCTTAAGAAACACAGTAAACTCAGACACACCTTGTGTGTATACTGTATGTAAGTTAGAGTGCAGACTGAAGGCTGACTCTGATCTGATCCTGATCTGTTGAAGGTGGAGCTGTTTTGTTCCTGTCAGTCAATCTCATGTTTCCCTTTAGTTCCTCTTGAAATTTAAAGAACCCGAGTCTATAGTCAGGTTGAAACTGAAGACATAATAAACACTGCTGATATTAACAAATATTAAACAATACAGCATAAAAACATCTTGCATTTACAACTAACTAATGTATTCTTGTATTACATTTTTACTTATTTTTATTGAAATTTTTATGGATCTTTTTATGATTACTATTTTTTCTAAATTCATTTTTCTGTAAAGCACTATGTACAATATTTATAGTGCCTTGTGAAAGTATTCATACCCCTTCATTTTTTTTCACATTTTGTGTTGCAGCCTTATGTTAAACTGCTTTAATAATAACTTTTTTTCCCACATCAATCTACACTCATACACCATAATGACAAAGCAAAAAACAGGTTTGTAACAACTTTGCAAATTTATTAGAAATAGAAAACTGAAATTATTCTATTGCATAAGTATTCATACACTTATCTGGCCACCTAGCAGAACAACAAGTAGACCAACACATAGAAGCTACGGCGCAGGTCTCTCGCAATAAATATAAGAAATATTGCTATTGTGACTTTATTGTGTGTTTTCCGAGGCTGCTCTGATAGGACTATGCCATAGATTTGCAGAGGGCCACTCAAGGGATTGATAGGGGTCTCAACAGCTGCATTAAATTGAACTACAATAATAATAATATATTAAATTGTGTTGTTGTTTTTCTAAACGTCATTAAAGGCAATTCATCCCCAAATAAAAACTGAAGTTGACTTTCATTTTGTGGACATTGTATTATCAAAATAACAATTTTCTCCTGACATATCCAGCATTGTGTATCCTATCCCATCGAGCTTTTCTTGAATGGCCTTTTCAGACTATAAAAGTAATGAAATGAATGAATCTTCTTCACATCACAAGTCTATGACTTTTTAGTGAAGGGAGTGTGTCTGACATGTATATCAGGGATATATGTTATGTGTTTGTGTTTAATACATTTTAAAAACTGCTCCGATTAGAACCTGTTTCAACTTCATTTGCAACCAGTTGGTAACTGTATGCATAATGTATATATTTATATTAGTTTTAGTTTTTCATTGTTGTACAAAAGGAAGACTTAGTAGAGAAGCTGTAAAAAATGTAAAACATGAAAAGGGTTGATGCCAAAGTGCTGCAGTCATTTATTTTTAAATAAGCAGCCCCAAAGATTACAACAAAATTAAAAAAGGTAACAAAAGGTAACACCCACTAATCTACATGTATAGAGAGAAAGATCAATGATGACACTTTTGTAAAAGGAAAAAACTAGTGTAAGTAAACATGTACCGTAATTTAACAGTGCTGCGGATGGAGGAGATCTGCTTTAAATCATTTCATTACAATATTGAGACACAAAATGCCATTGCACTACAAGCACAAAGAGTAAGTTTGATTATTTTGTGTGTTTATATTTATCTGTGTCACACAGCATCAGGAGTGTCATCTTCCAGGAGCGGCTTGTGAAGTTCTGGATCCTCCACCGACTGCAAAACCACAAACAAACATGAACACACAGAGCAGCTCTCTCAAACTCTCTCACGATCACAGTGGATTTGACTGATTGATTGTTGTAATAGTGCTGATGATACAGTACCTTTACATCTTCATCCTTCTTGCACAAAGCTTTCCCAGTCAAAACACAGAAACTGATGGTCACACAGATCTGATGGACTGACAGCGCTATCATCATGATATCTAGTCCTCTGAAGATATTCTGGGTGGGTAAAGAATAGAGTGTCAACATTTTAAAAAGGAAAATCATCCATAAAGCCTGTAAGACATTTACAGTAAATAAATAAAACAACAACAACTCCCTTTTATGTTTTCCCTATACCTATTTAGAAAAGCTGGAAAAAAAGCACATCATATAGACGACTTTGGTAACACTTTCTATGAAGCCCATATTTATAACACATTATAAGGGTATTCTTAAGGCATTATAATGAATGCATAATGCATTATAAAAGACCTTATAATATGTTATATCATCTTATAAATCATAACAACAATTATAATACATTATAATGCTTACGCATTTGTGATTATAAGTTTTAAGATTGTGATTATTTATAACACAATGAACACCATATAAAATCTATTTTTACATTTATAATGGGCTATATATCTTGACATTGTTTATTTAAGATCTGCACAGTATCTTACTACATCTTGTAAGTGGTTAGGTGTGGAGTGTTATTTGAGTGTTCCCTGTGAGGCTAATATTAATATTGATGTGAGCTAGTTAATAATTTCAATTTTGTTTATATGTTAGGTTACATTTTATTTTGATGGTCCCCTTAGTATATTGACTATAAGAAACCTTGCAACTACATGCCAACTAACTCTCATTAGAGTATTAGTAGGCTTAGGTTAAGTTTGGTAGAATGTT